CGTCTGATTCCTGGCGACTTCAGTTGTCAGGGTGATAGGTTTTGTCGTGGCCAGCTGGGTTCTTTTTACTGTTGTGTCACCAGGAGTGCTGGGCACGTCCGTGTGGTCTTTTCTACACACACGGTGCCATCAGGAGTGCCAGACACGGGCGCGGTGAAGACGTGTCGGTAGGTTTCCCCCCGAGCGTCCACATGACAAGTCACGTTTATCATTTCTTCATGACCAAAGGTGCTGACATTTCTACTGTGTCCATCAGCATACGATATACTTCTGTTCGCTCTATCAGGCATGATGTCTGACATAACTACGGCAAAGGTTTGGGACAGGGAGTCTAGACCCATAGGAACTATCTGTAGTACAGTGTCTCCCCCCAATGCTACTTTTACGCCACTAGAAGCTTTCCAAGCCTGTGTGCACAAGTGGGTGATGTTTGAATCGTGTTTGTCTGTTTCTGTGCTGACTGACATGGACACAAATGGCAGGGCATACTTTATCTGGTTTGTTGTGATGAGCTTGCGTTTTTTCCCAAGCTGGTGGCATAGACTGATATGGTCCTGGTCGGACGGAAGTAGGTGTGAGGTATTGTAGTGTGTGTGAACGTGATATTGTGCTAGTTTAGGACCTTTAGTGATACAGAAAAGCAACTGGTTAACCCTAACTGCAACTCTTAGGCCGGAATATAGGTAGTAAGAATAATCAAGTCGCCAGGTCAGTATCAAATGAGCAGAGTTACCGAGACTAAGCAATCTATTCCCGCCCAGTGCCAGCTTTCTTAAATTCAGCCCACTCATAGTCTCCCAAGACACACACGTTAACTCATTTCGGCTCAAGTCTAGCTTCCTGAGCCTTTCCAGTGACTTGAATGCCTGAGGGTGAATGCTTTTGATAGAATTTGATCTCAAAGACAGGTGGGCTAAGTTCAGATTGTGAAACCAAGATGCCTCGACACTTTGCAATGCGTTATTGTCAAGTAGCAACGTTTTTAGGCCAGTGAGCCTCCGAAAGCATGCTGAATCCATGCTGCTTATATTATTGTAGGAAAACGACAGAGTCCACAACAAAAATGGAGATTTCCAACCGTCGAACCAGACTCGTTTCACGTGAGTCAAGTTGTTGGAATCGAGCTGCAAGGATTTCAATCTAGAAAACGCGGCCAAAGTGTCCTGTTCTAAATCTGTGATCACACATTCCACCAAAGCAAGGATATCGATCGTTAATGCAGGCGGTTCTGACACGCTTAGACGATTACAATCGCTAAGCAGGGCCGCTGCTTAGTCGAGTCTGTCGACTAAGCACCGTAGTCTCATGGACCAGCCTACGCGCTTAGCGACAAAATCACATCATTAAGCTAAGCGGATCTAGAGCGGCAGGAGCCGCGAAGCCTCACGGGATCGGGGTCCGGGTCACCGCAGCGGCCAGGTCACGGCCCGGCATACAGCCGACCGTTCTGTACACAGTACGTCTGGAAACTTCGCTACGCCACGCATATATACATTCTACGTCAACTATTTTACAGGTAAGTGTTGCTCCAGGTTATGATTTCAACTTGGGCTGACATGGGATTCGGAAAAAGCTCAAACAGTAACTAAACTTAGGCTGTTAAAAT